TGAGTATCAGAGTGTTCCATCTCGTTTCCCTTTGGGATTGCTTTATGCGATCTGGAAGTCTGGTTTTGAGACTTTTTTATGTGTCTTCTCATTTTGACAGGGAGGGGGACTGATGTTGGCTCCCACGCGGTAGCTCACCTCCTCTATGCTGGGGGGGGGGTGGTACAGCAGACTGGAAGCCTCCTCCTGGGTGTTGGGAGTGACCCTACTTCTACTTCTTAAAGGCATTTGAGTTTGTAACTTTTTCCTCTTTTTGCAGCGCTGAAGTTCAAACTCAGAGCATGGTGTATGCTAGGCAAGTGCTCTACCACTGAGCTACACTCCCAGTCTTGTAACTTCTGCTATATAGCTTTCCATTTATTCTCTGGTATGGTTGGTATTAATTTATTGTCTATTAAGCAAAAATTGACCAAGGTCTTCAGCAGTGGATTCCAGAAACAAGGAATTCTGAGGACTCCTTAGGCTCAGACCTACAGAGGGAGACACCACAGAGGATGGCTGCTTGCTCCAGGGACTCAAAGATGCAGAGTCCCTCAGGGTCCAAGTGCTCTGCACCTGTGGGAGGGTGATATGGACTTTGGTTTGGTGCAGAGTTCAGCATCATCCTGGGACCTCAAAAGCTGTCAGGCAGAGCCCTCTGCACCTTCACTCATGCCCTCCGCAAAGGGGCCACTGACAGGAGCAGTGGTGTTGATGGTGCTAAGGGACTCTGGTTTTCTTTTTCTTTTTGGTACCAGGTATCGAACTCAGAACCTTGCGCTTGTGAGGCAGGTGGCAGAACCACTGAGCTAAAACCCCGGCTTGCTAAGGAACTCTTTGGATATATGGGAGGGTAAGACTGGGTACTGCCCCTTGGAGGCCACCTCTGGGGTAATGTTTCATTCATATTGCCTTTAACTTAGTCCACAGGAATAAAAAATAAAAAGCTAGGAGGATGAGAAAAGAAAAGCAATTAGAAACTCTAGGAATAGTAAAAAGCTATATGAGAAATTAATAAGCCTGAGGTCTGGAAAGAATGGCGTGAGGGCAGAAGATTCTGCATAGCATCTGAAACACACAACTTCTTAATTTCCTGTTAGTTCCTGAAGACCTCCAGATATAACTGAGGACCTATCTGCCTGCCAGGTAGGAGAAGAGGGCAGTGACCTTTGGGCTGATTGCACTCTGCCTGATGTCTTTCCTGCTGGGGAAGCCGGAGGACTTGTGTTCCATGCTCTGAACAGCCTTACAAACTGGTACATTTGTGTTCTGGTTGGCCACTGTCTCAGGGAAAGAAGTTTTACCATGTTTTGTCACTAGATGGCATCCATCCGTCCGACAAGCTGGAAAGTCATGAGTGGACCCAGCCCGTCCCCTCAGAAAACAAGTTTTGTGGGGTTTTTTTGAGAAAAAAGTTCAAAGAAAGGGGATAGAATATTCAGCCAGAGTAGGCATTTTACTTACCAGCTCGAAACTTGGAGAATCGCCTTTTGCTGTGCGGTAATAGAATGGTTTCACAGCCAGCTCCAGAGGACTGGAGCCCATCACTTCCTCCCTCCCTGTCACTTCATCCTGCTCTCTGTGGCACCACGTTGCTTTCAGAGGTCATATCACCATAAAAGCCTATTTCGGAGCTCTCTGTTCAGATTCAGCATTTACTACCAAGGTTTAAAATCTTGCCATGTGGGATTTTGAAGGTTTCTTAGGGATTTCTACTGAGTAGTGCTCACCTGTATTTTCCCAACTATTCTGAATGCACTCCATCAGATAAGTTAACAAGATGAGCTACGGTTTGACTTAAATAGGAAAAAAGAAGGAAGAAAAGGAGAAAGAAGGAAGAGGAGAAGGAAAGAGGGGAGGAAGGAAAAAATAAAAGGAGAGAAAGAGGAACTCTGCATGCATGCCCTTCCTGCTTCATTGCTGTGATTTGTCCCAGCAGAATGCCATCCACCAAGGCCTCCAGTTTTGGAGGCTGGGAAAGGTTGGAAAGGATGCTGAAAGCTGGCCAGGGGAGGGGGGTGGGGTGGGGGGGTGAGAGTAGAGCCTTTTAGGAACAAGTGATGAGTCTCCTGGAGAACAGGAGCCATGTGTATGAAACTGCACCTTCCCAAACAGCAGCGCCCAGTAACTGTTCAGAAGGCCTAGCTATCCAGGCCCTGCTATTTACTTGGGGTGTGGTCTTTGTGCAAGCAAAATAACCTCTGTGAACCCCAATATTTCTCAGCTATCAAATGGAGCATGCATCACACCCTCAGAGGGTTCTGGTGTGGATGAATGAAGTGGGATAGTGGACATAAAGATTTTGCAAATGTGAATTGGGGTAAGAAAGTATGGGTGGGTACGTTGGTTTGTAAGTGATGGATCATGAATTCCATGAAAAGACCTCCAGGTGGGCTGAGGAACACTGTCTGCAGAACACAATGCTGTGCTCAGCACGAGCGGGCATTGAGAGGGCTGAACGCTGGCTTTGTCAACGCCTGGTTCTGCTGTCGTGCAGAGAGAACCCAAATCACTGATTGGGGTTTCAGGTAATGCTGTGTACCTGCCCCTACTATCTTCTTTGTATAACCAGGGCTCAGAAGTGGCCCTGCCTCTGTGGCTGGTCTCAGCCCATCCTGGACCAACTTCATGCCTAAGAAAGCAATTTCATCCCCTTGCAAAGACTGCCTCCCAACTGGCTCAAGGTTCTACTCTCTCTACCAGCTGTTCCTGAGTGGCCTGAACACCAGCGGGTCTCACCCCTGCTCTGTGCACCGAGAAAAAACCCTGAAGTGGGTCCCACTCACTGCTTTGCTGTTTCTTCTGGGCCTGCTGAGGAAGTCTCAGGGACTTGGGGAAAGTCTGGGAAAAATCTCCCTGCTTTGGGGGGGCCGGCGGGGGATGAGAAACAGGGAGACTCACTAGTGCTCCTTACACTGCTTCAGAGGCTCCCAGCAGCGTGCAGAGGATTTGTGCAAACACTTCCTCTCTGGAAGAAGAGGAATGCAGGACGCAGCCGCCTGTGGTCCATCTCAGAGCACTGGAGGGCTGTGCCCACACTTGTGAAAGTGCCCAGGGGGATGAGGCCCCATTTGAGCCAGCCAGGGCCCAGGGCAAGCAGCAAGGGACCCTGGCCCAGGGTCTGGGTGTTGTCCATGGACCTCCCTACTGCCCGGGGGGCTGCTCCTCTCTGCTCCCATAGGACTCGGTTGCTCTGGGCCCCGGGTAGGCCCTTCTTCACTCTGGTGCTGCTGGCTTCCATCAAGCAAGTAAGAGAAATTATTTATTCTTTATTCTTATCATTAATGTTGCCAGTTATTTATATTTTCTGATTATAGAAACAATTTCCGCTCCTGGTAAGCAATTTGGAAAATATAAAATGGTATTAAGGAAATAATGATCAACCACAACCCTAATGTCCAGGGGAAATCACTGTTAATATTTGGCATACTTTTCTTAAATCCTTTTTCTATGCATTTTTTTCCACACAGCTGAAATGATGAAGCATAAACTATTTTGTATCCAGGTTTTCCCTTTACATCATATTGTAAGCATTTTCTCATGTCAGTATGAACTCTGAACAGCATTTAAATTGCTGCCTGTATCTTCCTCTATGCCTTTAGCATTCTCTCAACCTTAAGAAATTATTTTCTATGCTTCTTCTTTTGGTTTTTCTTCCTTTCCTTTCTTCCTTCCTTTTTTCCTTCCTTCCTTCCTACTTATCATAAAAATACATAATGTTCAATATTAAAAATGACATATAAAATCTAAGGAAATATAAACTACAAATCACAGCGATTCCACTAGCCAGAGATCACCCTTGTTTACATTTGGGGACTTATTCTTCTAGTCTTTTTTCTGCTATTCATTTATATAATATTTAAAACAATAATCATAGGCTCACAATGTAAATATGAGTTTGTAGTATAAATACTGGTTTGTATTTTTACACTTGATCTTAGCTAAAAGGCCGAGAAGCGATGGTTTGTATTTTTAAATAGCAAAACACACTAACAACATGAACGTACTGACACCTGACTGGCACTTGTGCTCTCAGCAATCCTGTCTTGTTGATCCTCTTTTACAGATGAGTAAACTGAATTTAACTGAGGTTAAGCAACACTTTACTGTGTCAATAAATGCCATGGCTATGGAGTGAGAGTTGAGGGCTTTTGGGATGTATTATAACATAGTTAGCTGCCCTCTACAGTTGGCTCTGGTAACTTGTCTCATTCTTATCCAAGAAGATTAGATCTTCACTTTTTTCCTTTTTAAGGCCCCATTTTTATATGAGGCTATGATGAGAAGGAACCACAGCTCCACTTGTTTGATTAAGCGGGAATGGCTCTCTGCTGTTTTGTTCCTTGGGCAGAGCTAGTCCCTGTTGGCAGCCTTGGAATTTGAAATCTTCTCTACCTCACAGAGGGAGGACTGTGGTGCAAGACCTCATAAATGTGCCTTTATCAGGCTTTCTTTGATGCTAGCTCAGAAAAAGAGGGCCAGAAGACTGCTGCTGAATTCTCTGCATGCGCATTCTCCCACATGCTGCCCTCAAGCCCTTGTGGCAACCCATGGCTTCAGGGAATTCTTGCCATGGTGGCATCCTCTTGCTAAGTGACCTGAATATCCATGAAGGTCAGTGGCCCTGGTCTGTCTCTGGGCCCAGGACTGCCATTGCTAGTGGTGAAGCTGATACCGGAAGAGGGGATACAGATCTCTCACACTGGCTTCCATTCTCTGAAAGTCTCCTATGAGGAAATGAATGTGTGTCCAGTTAACTGCCTGGTTTTCCCACCTTCTGTCTCTAGGCCTGTCTGGATTACTTGCCACATGCCAAGCACTGCCACAGCACTTGAGGAATCAAATGATTCCTCACACATTATCAGCTCAGTGCTCACAGCAAGCTTCTGAGAACAGTATTATTGCTGAGTCCATTTTTCAGAAGGAGAAATAAGTTTCGGACTGCCCTCCATGTAGCTCGTGATCAGGGGAGCCGTTGTGTCGCCTTGGAGGATGAAGTCCTGTGTTCTGTCTTCTTAGCACTCTTGGGAACTGTTGACATGGACTATTTATATATAACAAGAGCAGCATCTGCAGTGCTTCAGGCTGGCTTACAATGCTGACGAAGCCATACCTTTGCTTTTTTGGTGCTGGTATTTCCATAACCAATTATACACCTGTACCTGCCACCCCGTCTGTGTGCACCGAGCTCTTGGCCCTGTCTGTCCTTCAGTGTGTGTCTGTAATTCTGATGACCCCCACTCTTGGTTCTCCATCTTCAATCTCACATTCTTTCTCCAGATGTTTATGTTACCAGGCTTTCCGTAGACATTCATGAAGAAGTTTGCTCATAGATGCTTTCCCTGCCTTGATTATAAATGACAGTGGTGTGTGTGCTGGCAGCAAGTCTTCATAAAATTCACTTAATGAGAAATTCTAAGGGATAGTTTAGTTTCTAAGTACAAGCAAAGAAATAGTGCTAGCTCTGTACATACCCATTCTACTCAGTTACATTATTTAGCAGTGGCTTTGGCATTCAAAAACATAAACTTGTGAAGGCTCTTAGAGAAGTGGATTTTATACATTCCCAGAGGGAGTATAATATGGTTATAGCTTGAAATCAGAAAAACAAAAGAGCTTTTCGTGAGGATAAACTGTTTGGCAGTGCATTATCAAAAACCTTTAAAAATGTGTATACTCTATGACCCAGAAATTCCAATTCAAAGAATTTCTCCTAGGAAGATATGGACCTAGTCTTTCTCTCTGCCTTCCTTCCATTCTTTCTTCCTTTCTTCTGGATTGAATCCAGGGCCTCATGCATACTAGGCAAAGGCCTTACCACTGAGCTACACTTCCACCTCTGCTTTCAAATGTTTAACTATGAGAATTTTCAACACAGCATCCTTAATATTAGAAAATGTTTAGAAAACTTGGATATTCAGTGTTGGAGGATTTAAAAACTAAATCAGATCACATTCATCCATTGAATAATATATACCTATAAGACAGTGATTTATTTATTATATATTTCTTGAAATAGAAATACATTCTCCATATTATCTAAGTGAAAAATAAAAGGCTACAAAACAATATCATTTCCCATTTGGTTAGAAGAAAAAAGAAAAAAGTAGAATAATATGTGTGTGTGCAGAGAAGCATCTGGAAGTAGACAGTAATTTCTGAGTAATGAGGTTATGATTCCACTTTGACCCCTTTAAGGTACATGTGACTTCTATTTTACCTACAGTGAAGCATATTCTTTCCTTAACAAAGAAAGATTTATTTAAATAGAGTCAACAGGATTTTTCCCCTTTTTCTTCGTCCCTTCTCAGCCAAGCTAGTTATAGATATTGGTTGCAAAGAAAAGATGTATCAAGGCCAGGCTGAACTTTTCCATTTAGAAAAAAATCCACCCACAGATCTTTCCTCAGTACTTTTGGAATTTAGCTGATTGAACTTGGATGCTCCTCCAAGTACCTAGGAAGACAGACTGAGCTTGTCCAGCTCCCCTAATCTGACCAAATTCAGTAGGTTTTAGATCTAGTTTCTTTTTCTGCTTTTTGACGATGACCATTAGTTATGGCACAGAGCAAGGGTTTAGGGAAATGTTAGTTCAGGGACCGATTTTATTGTCTCTTCCTTGGGCAGGTCCAGTGAGGTCCCTGAGGACATAATTAGTACTTTATGCAAGAAAGTCATACTTTGACAACTTTTGAAGATTTGGGAAACTTCTTGTTTGGTTTTTAAACCATCTGCTGATTTTGTAATATGAGTTAGGTACTGTCCCATTAGGATGTTTATTTCTTTAAAAAATATGTTAATAAACTTACTTGTTGCTTCTTGAGCCATAACTCAGAGAAGGATTATTAGCAGAGATTTAAAGCACATTGCAAATTTAAACTAAGGGATAAATGTCAATTATTGTATCACCATCGTTACCCCTTATTGGCCCCCCCCCGATTCCCAAACCACATGCTAAGATGAGGCACCACTTTGAGTTCACAGGGTATTTTTCACTAGATATTTTAATTTTTTGAGGAAACAGAGTGATACTTGACATTTGCCAGGCACTGTACAAACTGCTATCTCAAAGTAGTCGTGGTTTGCTATTAGGTCATACTTCATTCTTTTTGATGATGTGGTATCTGAAAAACTGGGCTTTCTGTAGGCACTGTGATAAAATGCAAGTACCCACCAAAACAAAACCCAGTGTGGAACAGGAAATGGTGTTGGCATCCAATCTGATTCTAAAGTTTGAGAAGTTGTGTAATACCCAACGGCACTCAGTTGTTAAGACATAAATATTTATTAGCTGTTTGGACCTATCTACTTAACAAATAGAACTGTAGATATATCTTTTGACTTAGGAACGTTTTGGAAAAATTACTGTAACAGTAAGGGTATCATGAGCTGATAAATTTGGGGAAACTGGTTCATGATGACCACATGAGCTCTTCTTCAAAAAACTGGCTGTGTGGCTCTCTTGGGAGGATATAAAGGAGCCACCCCAGGCTCCATCGTGACTGCCAAGTGTTGGGAGGGCAGGTGTGCTAGGCAGAGGAGGGAGAAGGTGGGTCTGACTAATGGGTCTGACTAAGCAGGCCACCTCTTGGGCTCATAGATGGGGTATATTTTTGCGGTAGGGCACGGGGGTGTGTGTGTGTGTGTGTGATTAAATTTGGATACATTTAAGTAGAGCATCTCTGAAAGGATTACAATAAGTTATTCTACTATTTATGGTTACATCTTTTGGGTAATATACCTGGCTTAAGAAAGCCTTTGAATTTGTTGCCCCTTATGAGAGGAGACGAAACTCAAAGCCAAGGACACAGCTACGCAGGCAAGGAGCTGTAGGGACATGGGGTGGAATGGTCCTGGACCTTGTTTCCCAGCTGATTATCTAACTGCTTTATCTTTAGTAGCCCCTATATGCTTTTTAGGACAAGAGACACTCTCTTCTTTGTATTTCTGTAATTCCTCCTAAACACGAGGCCCACTATACAATGGGTCCAGTGAAAAAATGAGTCAACTGAATGAACAGTGGAAGGAAAAAGTCCTTTTTAAAACCAAAAGAAGTTGTGCAGGTATACAATGAGAAATTGTTAGGCAACTCAATTATCCAAAAAGCCGCCAAAATGTGGGCTGTATTTCCAAGGTTCTGTGGAACAGAAAAGTCAATGTCATGAAAAGAAAAACCCAGGACTTCAGTACGGTAGCACAGAATCTGTGTACTTCGTGTCTTTGACTGTGGACACACAGGCACCTAGAGGGTGCAGGCCTTTCTCAGCTGTGTTATTGAGCCCCTCCTAGAGTGATACTTCTCTCTTTGGGATCTGCATAGTCTTAGAAATGTGCAACCTCCACTAGTGTGGAGGTTGTGCAAATTTAAGATAAATGTATTGTATCCTCTTGCAATGTCAACCTCACATAATGATTTTTTTTTGTTTTTGGTACTGGGGATCAAACTTGGGTCCTTCCGCTTGCGAGGCAGGTGGCAGAACCACTGAGCTAAATCCCCGGCCCACATAATGATTTTGAAGAAAAGTTTCATATTTATATCAAAACCAGTATGATTCAATTATGGAGTAAATGTAAAATTCATACGTGTTTTTACAGTAGCATGTAAGATGTCAAAGCAATTGTTTCTCAGTGCAGCCCACTGTGAATGCTTCAGTGGGAAGCAGTTTAAGGATCACGGTGTGAGATAACAAGGCAACTTCTGGGCTTGTAGCTAACTGGAAGTGACTATGCTTTTGTCTGCTCAGGTTACAGGATCTCTGCTTGAGGAGACAACTCGGAAGTGGGCTCAGTACAAGGAGAAGTGTCTGCGAGACTTACTCAAGGAACCTTCTGGTAAGCACGTGTAGTAGTTATCAATAGCTGTGTAACAAGTTGCCCCAAAGTTAATGACTTAAAACAATGATAAAACAATGGAGTTACATGAAGGCTGATGCATGGCCATGTCTTTTGGTTGGTATCACCTCGAAGCTGAGAATCAAGCAGCAACTGGTGGCCAGAACATATCTATACAGCCTCTCCAAGTGGACTGGGCTTCCTCACAGCATGATGGCTGGCTTTCTCAGGAAGAGATAGCCTAAGCCAGATTGCCTCTTATGACCTGGCCCAAGAAGTCACATGATATCATTTCTGCCACGTTCTATGGTGAGAGAGTTACACAGGTCTACCTAGGTTCACAGGAAGAAAAGACAGACCCCCACCTCCACTTCTCACTGTAAAATAATGTAAGATGAGACATATGTGGGTGCAGCCTTCTTTGATAAAAGCCACCTCCCACAGCACACTCACTGCCTGTGAGTCATCTCACCTGTGGAACTATTGTAAAGCGACTGGGAAACTATTAGGTGAGTTGGAGGGGGAGGTCCTCCCCATTTCCCAGGGCATTAGTTGTATCTGAGGAATAATATTTCTCTTTTTCCAGTTTCTACAAGGTTTAGACTTTAGTGCATTCTAGCAAATCTGTATTAGTTTGGTCAGTCTGCAGCCTCACCTGTCTGCATGCTGACTCTGGATGAATCCATATGTACCTACCCACTTTAAGAAGAAGAAAACAAACTGGATGTGGTGGTGCATGCACTCAGGAGGCTGAGGCCGGGGGATCTTTGTGAGTTTAAGGCCAGCCTGAACTACAAAGCAAGGTCCTGTCTAAACAAAAGGAGAAGGAGAAGAAGGAGAAGAGAGTGCCTCTGCATTGAAGACTGTGGATAAAGGCTGCACCCCTCCTCATGCTTCTGAATCCTTTCAGATCATCTCAGGAGCCTGGAGGCTTCAGAAACTATCAATTATCTTTTCCTTTCTGGACTCAAGTAGCAGCTTTCAAGTCCCCCTTTGGCCCAGAAAGACGGCAATCAAGTCCTGATATCAGCTACCAGAACCCACCTCACTTCAGGGAGTACTGCTTCTAAGGTCAAAGTAGGGTGGGTTGTCTTCTTTATCCATGGCCATCCTGTGAGTGGTGTGGCCATGTGAACGCTGCCTTACACAGACCAGGTGCTAACACCTGGCAGCCAGGTGGCCAGAGGGCCCCAAGCCAGCTCCTGACCTGGCACATCTACAATGCAGTAACCTGGCTGTTCCACTTGAGAAGCCCTGAACTTTTAGCTTAACAGAGAGAGGTTGAGGGTGGAAGGAACAGAGAGGATGATGCTTGGTTTATAGTAATTCAGGAGCTTGCAATATGGAAGTTTGAGACACACCTTAAAACACCGCCATTTCACTTTGGGAGGCCTGCCAAGCAGAGTTCTAAGTTTATAGCTTCCCATTACCAAACATTGAGCTATAAACCATCCCTGAGCTGTGATGATACAAATTCCCATATGATCATTTAATTTGTATCAGAATGGAGAGGCTTGACTTCATAGAACTTGTGTTGTGTACATGTGACTAAGAACCTAGACTCCACGCTTCCCCTTATGCCCACTGGTCATCATGCACATTTCACAGTTGATATGTTCTAGGGTCTAACTGGTAAAGGCTTGGCAATTGATTGGTTAATTAAGGACCATAAGGCATTGGTGGGGCCTACACATGTCCTCCTACCCCAAGTTTCTGAGAGAGTTTAGGTCATGTAAAATAAAGCAAAATCAGCATGATATGTACATTGCATTAACTGACTGGAGGTCAAGTTGGGTAGACAAAGACACAGTATTTGGGGCTGCACTCAGCATTCCTATGCTTCCCAAATCATGCTCCATCCTTGGCCATCTAGAGAGAGGTAGGCACGTGAGGGTCTCTGCGGAGGTTGCACAAACTTTCAATGGCAGAAGGTGTGCTCTGGGCTCCTGATTCTATCAGCAGACCCTGTGGTCATACACAGATGTTCATTCTGGCTCCTTTTCCCTTCACAGGTATATTTTGTAATGGAACATTTGATCGGTATGTGTGCTGGCCTCATTCTTCTCCTGGAAACGTCTCTGTTCCCTGCCCTTCATACTTGCCTTGGTGGAATGAAGGTAATAAGTCTTATTTTACCAACTGCTCAGAGTTTCTCTCCAAACACCCTTCCTCCTGGGTTAAGCAGCCACTAGCTATTTAGAGAAAGGGCTCCACCCAAGTATGTTCCCCAAGTCCTCTTGCCCACAGAGGGCTCCATCTAGGTGTTCAGTATTACATCTTCCTTCTCCTCTTGTCTCCTGCTATTTTTATACTCCTTATATTCCATTTATATAGTAGTTCTTTTTATCTTGAAGGCTGTAGAGTATAGACCTGGATACCATGCAATCTGGCTACGTTGAGGGTTAAGACTTGTCACATTCATAACAGAATAAAGAGGTAATGGTGTAAGATCCAAAAGCTCATAACATGCAACTTTGGGTTTGTTCGACTGGGGAAAGGGTCTTTGAACCTTCCCTTGTATCAGCCTTGGAAGGAGATGTCTTTGAATTAGTGTTTGTCAGCCCCTTGTGGCTTAGATGAAGAGTTTAGTCACTCCACTTGCTCTAATCATGATAAAAGGAAGTGAATACTATTACTTAGAGACCTAGGATAATATCCCACCTCCACCTGCCACAGAAGCCTGACCTCTTGGTCATTTTATTCTGGAAGGGGAGAGTAGCAATTTTAGGTTAGAATTCTGTTGTCTCTGACCAATGACTGTGGGAAAATATAAAGATAGCTAAACCTCTTCTCAGGAAACATAAGCAGATATGAAGCTCCAGTTAAAACAAGGTGAGGAGGAGTTTCTGAAAAGGTAAAATGACAGCATCTTATAATCTTATATTTAATTTCAGCCCAATAATATTTCACATCTATGGTACTTTGGTTTCAATATTTTGAGGATGACAGAGAGGGAGGAAGGGAGGGAAGGAGGGAGGGAAGGAGGGAGGGAGGGAGAGAGAGAGAGAGAAGGGAGGAGGAGGAAGAGAAAGAAGAGGAGAAAAAGGAGAAGGAGAAGAGACATTTCTGTGTGGGAGAGTTAGTGACATATTTTGTGGGACTGTCTTCTGATAAAGCCCAGTTTGAATGAACCTAGAAGGTGTGAGGATCTGAGGCTTCATGAAGGGTAGCAAAGAAGGCACTAGAGGACTTGCTGGATGAGAGAGGTCTAAATGACTCAAGTAAACAGTCCCTGTATGAGCCAGTTGGCAGGGTGCAAAGAGCACTGGACCTGAAGCCAGGACCCTGAAGTCAGTGCCTCTAGTTTACCCTTTGAAACTTTGAGCGTATCCGGGGCCTTCCTAAGCTGTGTTTACCTCATATGTAAGGTGAAGTGAATAATATCCAACTCTCAAGTTCATTTTGAGGAATAAATGAGAAGGAACACAGAGTTTCTACCACCTGGTGGGTATTTTGTCAGTGTGAGCTGAAGCTGAGTTCACAATTGAGACCTGTGGATTCCTTCGGGTCATTAAGGCCCCAAATGTCCACAGATTCCTCAATGGCATGTGGAATAGGCTACCACCTCCCAGCTCCACCTTCTACTGTTTCTTCCCAGGAGCTAAGAGTACAGATCTATTCCACTTTAGGAGGAAAAAGTGGTCCAGGGTCCAAGTCTACAATGAAGTAGAGTTAAAGGCTTTTTAAAAAAATGATTTCTGGGCTTTGGAATTGTACTAAAAGGAATGTGACTTGCCAAAAGTGGGAAGTGACCCTGCCACTCAATATTTTTTTGTATTAAAAATGCAGAATAATGATTTGAGATACAGTCAGAAGAACGAACATGCTCTAAGAAAGGAGAGAGTCAGATGATGTTTGTATGCTACATCGGCATCCACACCTGGCTATTGAGGCTGGGGCTGACTAGGAAGGAATCTGCGTGTTACACTGAAGATTCCATCACAGGGGAAGGTGACGCAGAGCCAGGCAGGTGCGAGGGCATGAGAAGCTCATAAATGCTGTGTAGTTCAGGAAGACAACATTGACAGCATGCAACTGTCAGACTGAGAAAAGGAGGGGAATCAGAAGGTACTTTCCTGGTCTAGAAGAATAGATGACAAAGGTTTGGATTCAGGCAGAGGTGAGAGATTGGAGAGAAAGGGAAAAAAAGATTAAAGAAAACCACTGGAGGTGGGATGGTCAGGACTTGTCATTAGGAGTCAAAACCAAAGGGTAGAGAGAAGTGGGAAATAGAGAAGAGTAAACAAGCTCCTCCTCGTCTGTTGTCCAGCTCAGGAACAGTCATGCAATCCACCTGTCCCACTGGGACGCACCCCTCGTCCACTTGGTAGCGGGTCCTCTGGCTCCCCTCCCTCCCATACCCCCCGCTGATGCTTTGGTAGGGGGCTCACCTGCACCCTCGTGCTGCTTCCTGTTTTCCTCGTTCCCAGCCTCAGATCTGGCACTTTCTAACCACCCTCCACAAAGCTTTCTAAAATGCCAACCAGATTATGTTGGTTCCCATTTGCAATACTTGCAAATGGCACGGGTTACCTTTTGTCCCCTGGCCTTGCCAACCCGTCTACCACTCTCTCCTTTATTTCTGCCTCAGCCGAATGAACAACTCCACCTGCCCAGCCATCGCCACCCAGTTCCTGTGCTCACTCTTCTGTCCAGGCTGCCTGCACTCTTTTTTGCCTATAAACTTCAATTCTCACTTCAAACCTTTCATCCTTCTAGGAAATTTCTCCAGCTTCTCCCCACAATACAATGAACCTCTGCCTTTCCAAAGCCTCTCCCAAACCTGTATGGTCTCTGTCTTAGCATTTAAAGCAGTTGATGGCCTTTTTATTTGTATTCTCCTGGCTAGAAATCAAGGCGTGCCTTTTCCTCTTAGCATCTTCAGCACGAAGCATTTGGACTGGCACAGAGGACACAAGGGTCAATGACATTACTGTCATTCACTCATTCAATAATTTTTTAAATATTATCACTATATAGTTCAGGCTGGCCTTGAACTCACTATGTAGCCCAGCCTGGCTTTGAACTCCCAGCAATCTTTCTGCCTCAGCCTCCTGAGTGCTGGGATTATAGGTGTGTGCCTCCATGCCGGGCTTATAACAAATATTTCTTAAACACCTACAGTGTGCCAGGTATTATTTTTAAGTACTTGGCTCGTATTAGTGACTAGAACAGAATGATTTCCTCTCTTGTGGGACTCATTCTAGCAAGAGAGATAGACAGTAATCAATAAACATCATGCATAAGTATAGATGCGATATATTTTAAACAAGATGGAGCAGTAGGAAGGGATAGGAGGACTGGGGTTGGGGGAGTGAGTTGGAATCATAAATTGGGTAGTTTGGGAAGACTTCAATGACCAGGTGGTGTTTTACTGAAGGGTTAAGGGAGACAAAAGTTTTAGCCTATGGGGGACGTTCAGGACAGAACGCACATCCATGCTGAGGCCCTAGGTGGGGAGCATGCCTGGTCTGCTCCAAAGAGAGGAGGTGAACATTGCTGGAGTGAAGAGGAAGAGAGGCTATGCAGAGAGATTTAGGGGCCAGATCTTGCAGGGCTTTGTGGTAGGTCATAAAAGGACACTGATTTGTTCTCGTGTCTTTGGAAGATTCTGAGCAGAAGCATGACATGATGCCACTGAGATCTGATCCATCCCATTGGCTGCTGGGCTACCCATAGATGAGAGGGGAAGACCGGTGGGAGAGTTTGCAATAATCCAGGGAGAGAGATTGGTTCCAAGGTGGAGAGATGCAGGAGGTGAAAAGCAGTGGTCAGATTCTGGGTATATTTGGAAGTAGAGATGATCAGCTAATAGAACAGGTAAGGGCTACAGAGATAGAGAGGAGGCCGGGATGACTCTAAAGCAGTGGTGGTGAACCTACAGCACGTGTGTTATTTGGGGTTTTTTTTAAAGACAAAAGATGTTCATTTTCTACACTAAAACCTCAGTATTTGGATTTAAGTGCAGTGTTGGCACAGCTTTAAGGTTTGGATGAGAGGACTGGCAGGGTGGGTTTCCACCCACTGAGGCAGGAAACTATGTAGGTAGAGCAGATTTTGAAAAGAAGACGAAGAGCTTGGTTTGATGCATAGCATCTGAGATGTCAGTTAGAAACCCTAGCAAAGCTCTTCACCCGATAGGCAGGTGAACATATTATGTAGCTACCCATCCATTAGTTAAGCAAGTAGCTACTGTTGGTCTATGATATGTAGAATCTGGACTAGGAAATTCCAACAACTTTCTATTTCTCATTTGTAAATCCAGTCCCTGTTTCTTCAGGTAGGAGGACTTTTGGGGAGGGGCTGCTGGGGCAGATGTGCCTGAGTCACAGCAGCACTCAGCCTGGCAAGGTGACTTACCCATCCCGTGTGCACACACTTTCTTATCCAATCTTCTCCTATATCACAGAGGGTGGGCACAATTACCATCTCCAATTCCTGGGGCTCAGGAACTGGCAGGCTCAGAGACTGAGAGCCTGGACCCAGGACACCAAATCACTGGTAGATGGCACATGAGGTTTCACCCCTGGGTCAGTCTACTTTGTGCTCATTGCTTTCTCTTCCTCATGGCTGGTGGGGCTTCTTGGGCATCAGGAAGACATGCCCCACTCTGAGCAGACCTGGGAGTCCAGGTTGGTCTCTCTCAGCTAGGTTGTGCCTTACTCCAGTTATGACATTTCTTAGCCACCGGGGGGCTGTTCTAACTCTGGAGACTTGCGGTAAACACAGCAGACATTGGTGGATCCTGGTATGTTAGGAAATCTCGAGGCTTCTGTGTTTTCCTTTCCATCCCAAATAAACAGCTGGGATGCTAATGGGCCCCAAAGGGGGAAGTGAAATTCCCTTTTCCCTGGGATTTTCCACAGCTCTCCAGCCAGGGCAAGGGCTTTTCAGCATGCTGGGGGAATGAGCTGTATGTTCTGACCTTTCCTCTAGAGCTTTGTTTACTTTCAGAGAGCTCAGGAAGGGCCTACAGACACTGCCTGGCTCGGGGGACTTGGCAGACATTAGAGAACACCACAGATATTTGGCAGGATGACTCCGAATGCGCCGAGAACCACAGCTTCAAACAAAACGTGAGTCTGCCCAGCTTGGTGATAAGGCGTCCAAGGCCCAGGCCAGCCACCCACCTCCAGGGCAGCCAGGAGGCCAGCTAGCTTTAGGGGTCCTACGAAGAGATGTTTTCCAACATGTCTGCCCCAAGCTCAGCTAAGGAAGGTCCACAGTCATGCACAGCAGCAACAGGTACCCCAGCTCCTCTGTGGCGGACTCTTTCTCATCATTCAAATTCAGTTCAATTGTCTCCTTCAAAGAGAGATCTCCATGACAACTCCATCCATAATGGCCCCCATGGTCACTTTCTACCACAGCCCTGATGTAGTTCCTTTATTGCACCTGTTACTCCTTGAAACTCTCAGGTGATTGCTTATTTGTTATCTAGCCCTCTCACCAGAATGTACATCCAGTGGTCACAAGGGACTTGTGTGCCTCAAGGAGGGCAGCACAACACAGAGTGTGGGGTCAAGCAGGCCATGTATTCAGACCATATGTACAGACTCTTCACTTCCTGACTATGAACTTGGCACAAATTTCTTCACCTTTCAGTGCCTTTGCTTCCTCATCCAGCCCAAAGGGATTTTATTTGTTGCATGTGATCATTGTGAGGATTTAGAGAGTCAACAGACATAAATTTCTTAGAAGAAAATTTGACATGTAGTCAGCCAGCTCTGAGTAGGAGTTACTGCCCTGTCGCCAGGATCCAGCGTTAGTCAGGGCTCAGCAAATCATCCTGGCAGCTGGGATGAGCAAACAGATCCATGCTTCAGACTTCTCTCCACGTGTTTTCGTTCCAGGATCCTATTCTGTAGTCCCCTTGGGCCCAGCTCGTCTCTGCTTACTTGCTGGGTTTGTGTTCTTCTTCCTATCCATACAAATCCTACCCACTTTCCCTCAAATGCAGGTAGAACAGAGGAGGAGGTGTCTGGGGACCAGATGTCTTGTTTTCTTTTTTCCAAACAGGCCACAAACATTAACGAAGCACCTACTATGTGCAAAGATTTTGCACTAGGCACTGAGAGCAGTGACTGAGATGTGGATACCAACCTCAGGGAGCTTAAAGTTTCATAGACTTTAGAGGGAGAATAGTAACTGATGGGACAGAAGTATAGGGTGCCCATGGTCTCAGCAGAGGGGGACACGGATGCTGACTGGGGGCAGAGAAGGCTGACCAAGCTGAGTCCTGAAGGGTGAGAAAGAGATGGCTAGGGGAAGAATGAGAGCAAGATCTCTTGGCCGAAGGAAAAATACTCACCCAGGTCCAAAGAACAAGAGGGTTTCTACTACTGGGGTGAGATGCAAAACCCTAAGTGAAGTCGGTCTGCAGATTGGTCTTAGCCTCTGTATTTGCTGTACTTTGTGCCTGGCACATGTTTTCCAGATCCCCTGAGGCTGGCTCCTCTTCATCATTCAGGTTTCAGGTCAATGGAGGGCTGCTGTGCAGGTGAGGTAGAATTTAGGAGGACACAGGTGGAGGTAGAGACCTCAGGAGAGGTGAGATGATGAAGGCCTCCTGTGCCTTTGAAGGATTAGGACTTTGCAAGTTCAAGTGGAAGGAACATAACTCAACATAGGTGGTGAGAGGCTTGCTCTGGCAACTTGGAGAAGGCTGGGGGCAGGAGGTAGAGTAGCCAGGTAGAATCATCTCTGTATCTCAGCCCAGATGTTATGAGAACACCAGTGAAATGGAAAGAAGAAGGAGGGTTGGTTTGCAAATTCCCAAGGACAGATGGTAGGAAGGCTTGAGAGCATAGTTGAGAGCATAGTTGAGAGCACAAAGGTCAAGTTTCTGGACTGAACCTCTGAGGAGATTTGAAATGTACCTCACTGAAATGGAGGAATACAGGAAGAAGCTTTGCCCCTCCACCTCTAGATGTTTTCCTACATAATTCTTATCCCAACTTGAGCCTGTGAAGCACCCTTCTCCCTGACACCTTTAGCTGTGGCTAACTTTTTTCATCATATAATTGGATTTGGTTTCTTATATCATTTTAATACTCTCCCACCAACACTAAATGTATTTTAATTGTTGAAAGTTTGGGGCAGGACAAGGAAGGAATTCAGTTTTAGAAACATTATCTGTGTGATCTGAGCACCTATCTGTCTCCTGGCATGCTCAACATGGGGTTGATAGAGCCCTCTTTACATGGTTTCTTTGTTAGTCAGCTTTCTGTTACTGTAATAGATACTTGAGATAAACAATTTGTAAAGATAAAAGGTTTATTTGGCTCACAGTTTCAGAGGTTTCAGTCCATGACTGCTTGGGTCCATTGCCTTTAGGCCTGAGGCAAGGCAGTACATTATATTTGACCGTGTGGTAGAGGAAACTGCTCACCTCACGGCAGCCAGGAAGCAAAGGGACAGAGAGCAGGCCTTCATGACCTAACTTCCTCCCATTAGGCCCCACTTCTTAAAGGTTCCACCACTTCCCAATAGCTCCACAGGTTGGCAACCAAGCCTTTAATGCATGGGCCTTTGTGGGACACTTCCAAACCATAGAAGCCTAGTTGTGAGGCTTGAAGGGGCAATTAATTCATTCATTCATGTATTGGTATCAATTAGGCTTGCAAAAGTTACCATTATTGAATTTCTTTTCAGAATGTCTTCCCTGGATCTCTCCCTCCCTGGTCTCTCCTTTGTCTATGCCTAGGGCTGTTATAGACAATGTTATAGACAATGGCTTTTCTGTGCTGTCTTCTTGGTTGTTTTTTTAAATGTAATTTTTCATTTGACTTTCAAAAATCAAAAACCTAGTTTTCTGTGAAGTTATTAAGGTCAACTTATAGAATATATCATTCTGGGCTGGGGATTTAGCTCAGTGGCACCATACCTGTCTCAATCCCCAATACCCGGCCCCCCCCAAAAAAGAACTTATCATTCTATTTTTTTTGTATTTTTTGTATCATTCTATTTATAAATCTAGCAAATTTTAATGTTTTCAAGGATGTCTTTAATTAATTTTTGTTGCCACTGCATACTAGTTATTTAAAATACCATTTTACATTTTGAGCTTCATTAGCACATTTAAGATATCAGATGTTTTAAATAGTTTAAATATATGCTGTAACAAGCAAATCCTTCTTAGTTCTCATGTAATTCTAGTTCACTGAATACATTAAGATTACATACTGGGCTTTAAATTTTTCTTAAATATGTTAATACTGTTTTCATTAAGTTTCCACTTAAAGTCTAAATCAAATACTTATTGACATATTTCATATTAGGACCACAATACTAATCTATTAGATCATCTACTATACCATATTCTCTAAATAGTAATGCAATTATATACAGCATGTGCAAGTAATTTAAAAATCTCCATATAGAGGATGGACGGAAGGTCAGATGTGTGATAATGCCAAATAAAGTTTAATTTTAGAATCTGAGTGGTGCATATGCAAGTTTTATTTAATAAAATTCTTTCAGATTTGATGTATGTTTGAAATATTTCACAATAAATATTAAGAAAACTACGGAAAAATACTATATCCAAGTTTGACATAAAACTATTGGTAAATGTAATGATTTGGTTAAACCTTGCCATGGCTGAGACAAAAAACTAAAATTTTCACACCAAGGAAAAAAACTGTCTCAAGAAAATAGGGGTTTCCATCACAGGGGACATGGTTTCCTATGGACCAAAGGTTTGTTTGGTCTGGTTATCGATGCCAGTAGAGTGGCTGGACCAGTAAATGTTTAACTAGCCCCCTTCTTCTACCTCTGGGGAAATAAAAGGCCTCTGGTTTATAATATTTGCCAATTCCTGTGGTATAAATACTCCCACTGTGCTGATTTCAAGTTGTCAATATGATGTCACTGAATACAGAGTAGGGAAGGGAGGTATGGTAGCCTTCATTAGACAGTGTTTCCACCAGGAAGATGTAACAGCGAAAAGATCCCAATAGTACTAACTGTAGACATGCAGAAAGCTAATTAGAAAATGAGTTTTGAGAATTCATTACTTTTATTTTTATATAGTTGATTTCATTGTAAATTTACATAGTTTAATTTCTAACAATGTGTGTATTTTCCAATCAGCTCACTGAAAATTGGCCAGTGAGCACTCACAAATTAGTATAACAACACCATGGGGGCCATCAGGGTGGTTTTTTCCACTCTTGCCAACACATTGAGCCCGAAGTCCATGCCCTTTGGAGGGTATTGATCTTTTTCAGGTTCAAGGTACAGTACTGCACTACCTAATTATTTCACCCTAATTCAGTGTGGGTCTTCAGTGGTTGTAACTTACTTCCTGAGAGGCTGGCTGGGGGCTGACATGTCCTTAAGTCTATACTGTCTTCCCATCAGATATGAAAGGCCTTCCCACAGATCCTCCACATCTTTTAAACCTTATTATTTGGCCCAATGGCAGAATTCTGTGTTCCTTATACAGTTTTACTATAATGACAGGTCACACCTCTTAAAGGGATCAAAGTGACACCTGTAGATGGATTGGGTATGGTTTATCTCAGGAACTGGCTTGGCTTTGGTCCCAGCACCATGGTCATGCTAATTGCATGCCTTGAGTTAAGAAAACTGTACGTTTTCTTATCTTCCTTCCTGGAGTGTGAACGGTTTAGGAACAATCACAAAGTTATACTCATACTTGAACACCATCCCTAAACTCCTGGCCTAGTACTGGGACACAATAGCCTTTGTATAAAGTAGCCACTTAATAAGTGGTGAAGGAAGAATTTCACAAATTCAGAAGGTCTTGGCTTCAGTACTGGTGCTAAAGTTCTCCAGGTGATCCTCATATGCTGCCAAGATTGAGACCCAACTGTCCACAGGTATGCACCTGGCTTAGGTCCACCGAGGCACCACACTGAACCAGTGAAGAGGAACAGTAAAACAAGACCGGAAGACTGAACTTGCAAAGACAGGAAGTAAAGATTTCTCTCTTTAGAAAAGTGAGGACAAGGGCATTGCTTTTTTCCTTCTGCAAATAACCATATTTCCAAGAATTCAAATACTTTAAAAAAAAGCCCTTCTGGCTATGTTTACCTGTTTCTTATTGTGG